CACAACAGCCCAGAGCCTGCACGCCCTGCAGTACCGCCAACAGTCTCCCCAGCACACTCCACGTCCACTCTGCACCACCCAGACGTGGTGCATCCTGTGACCCCTGGGCATGCAGTGGGCCTGGGGCAGCTCCTTCTGGCAGTAATGGCAGGGACCAGCACATGCAGCTCTGACCCTGCACGCCCCATGCTGACTCTGGGCTCACTCCTCCAGGCTGAGCAGGGACAGTGGTGCCGGGCAGAAACTGTTGCTTGGCATGGGAAAGTGCCACCCCCCTCATCCAGCCAGTTTCTGGTGTGGCTGCCTGGAGCCTGCAATGTGTCGGGCTGCAGTGCAGCTCTGTCACCACCACCTCTGGGCTGCCCAGCACAGCAGTGGTGACAGTGCAGAGCTGCCGCAAGGCAGTACAGAGGCAGTGGCACAGGCTCCAGGCAGCCATACCGAAAACTGCTAGGTGGCAATGAGGAGGAGGGACCACTTTCCCAACACCAAGCAACAATTTCTGCCCAGTTCTGCCACTGCTGCTCAGCCTGGAGGAGCAAGCCTGGAGCCAGTACTGGGGCCCTGGCTCAGCAGGGCAGCATGGGAGAGAAACTACTGCTCAGCGCAGGACAAAAGTGGCCCCTGCCCCTCCCCCTCACTGGTGCTTCCTGGCGTAGCTCCCCAGAGACACGTGGGGTTGCCCTGCACCTGCTCTGTGTTGCCAGCACTGTCCCGTGGGGTATCCCAGAGGTGGTGATGCCACAGCAGAGATACAGGGCAGCCCTGCACAGGCTCTGGGTGGATGCACCAGGAAGTACTGGCGAGGGGGAGGAGTCACTTTTCCCCCATGCTGAGCAGCAGTTTGTTCCATGCTGCTGCTGCTCAGCCCGCATGAATGAGCCCAGAGTTGGTGCAGGGTCAGGGCTGTGCGCTGGTCCCTGCCTGTACCACAGGGCTGGGGCCAGTGACAGCAGCAGAGGAGCTGCTGCAGCTCAGGCTGCCTAGAAAGACAGTCCTGCTGCAGAGCTGCTCCAGCCCTGCTGTATGCCCAGGAGGCAGCAGGACACACCACAGCTGGGCAGTGCTTCAGCCAGGTGGGTCCAAGGGACCTCCAGACCAGACAAAGCCTCTGAGACCTGGATCCAGCCTGCGGGCTCTATTTTGCCCACCCCTAAACTAGTTTCTAGATTCCAAGCAAAAGAACCAAATACAAAATAAATAAATAAATAAATGAGCAAAGAAAACATGCTAGGTGCTATGCAGAGCCTAAGTAAGAATGAATGAACTGATATTCAAGGGGGATTTTGGTCTAATATTAGAAACATTTCTTTCAGGACTCAAATCCATCAGATTTCTATGCCCAGTCTTTAATGTTCAGACTAAGTCTTTTGTGACTTGCATGTTCTGAATTTTTTTAAGCACAAGTATACCATTCAAACACATTCAGCTCTTGCTAAGGCCTCTGCCTGAGGCTCCAGAAGAAGGGGAACTGTGTCCATGCCATACCACACTTCTTACATCATGGAGTTTTCCTGCAATAATGTGAAATTAACAAAAATCCCTAACTCCATCCTGGAAACATTTTGCTCTAGTTCTTCCTCTTTTCTACTATATATTGAAGCTGCATCTGCAAGAGTTGTGGGAGGAAAATTTAGAAGTGAGATTGTTAAATCCACCCTCATGTTTACTTGATAGCAAAGATGTTGTTTGTTGGACAAGAAATGAGAAAATAGGAAGCAATATGTATTCCAGAAATTTGGTGGCCTTATGTGCTGGGCATGGGGCCAGCTGGGGGCAGCAGTGCTGGGCCCCAGGTCCCAATCCCAGTGTGTGGGGGTGGGAAAGGGCAGTGCTGGGCACCCAGAATCCCATCCCAATGGGAGGGGGGAGTGCTGGGCCCCCAGGCCCAGTCCTGGCAGAAGGCAATCCTGCTGGGCTACCATGATCTAATCCCAGCACACAGAGCAGGGAGGGAGGTGCTGCTGGTCCCCAAGAATGGAATCTGAAGCAAGAGGCTGAGCACCACTAATCTAGGCCATTTTTATCTTCACTTCAGATAATTCCCTTGTTTTTAGTAGCACCATAATCTGAGGAAGTACATAAACATCTCTTCTAAATGGATCTCTCTTCTCAGAGAGAAGAAAACACCCAGAGCCTGTGCAGTTGTTCCTCAGGGAAATGAAATATCTCTGGTTTAAAATAAGCTCATTTTAAACATAACCACATTTTAAAGAAGTAATAATAGTAAAAGAGGAATATAGAAAGAAGAATTAAGAAAGTTTACCAGTTCAAGAGTTTTCTTAATTACTGAAGTATTATTTCACTTTGCCTTTGCTTGCAATGATTAAGCTAGTGAGAAATTGTTATATACTTTAAAGATTTGGGGATTTAAAATTTTGCATTGTGTAATTGCCCTCTATATTTTATTTGCCACACTGTTTCACAGCATATTTTTAGTAGACTGGGCTTTGGCCACTTACTGCCAGGCATCAGAATTGTCATTCCACCACTGCCAGTAGCAGACCAGCAGTTAGTATTTTATCCACTGCATCATTTAACCATGCTAACAGCAGATCTATCAGCATTTTAAACATTCTAATATTATAAGCAGCAATCAGAGTGCTCCAAGCATGGGGGGGCGCTGCCATGATTCTGAAGCTGAGCTGAGCTGAGGATCGGACAGAGGGTAGGGGAGCAGTGCTGGCCTCAGCTCTCCCACCCCACCCCCTGCAAGAGGCAGAACAGTGGCAGCAGGGGGCGTTAGGTGGTGGCACTCCATCCCTGCCCCCGCTCCTTCCCTCCCCGCCCCCCGGTCATTCTTGACGGGTAATTGGCTAGTGCTTTTAGAACGGTCCTTGCATCCCATATATGTAGAGTTCCTACCATTGGAGTTATGTCAGTTGATAAGTATTAGTATTTCTTTAAATATCAAGCATAGATAGGTGGCTCCCCATTTCCACAAATCAACTCCCCAGAGTGAGCAAACAACAGGCTAATTGATTCCACTGAGATGAACATACAAAGCCCAGGTGGCTATGTAAACTCACAAACAAGTTTTGTTTCTTCCTTGTTACCCAAAAATATTGGAGACAAACAAGATCAAGGACCAAATGCGCCACAGGCTTAATTGTGTAGGCAAATGCTATTAATGATTTGAAAACAGAATGTTGGAAGGGAAAAAAAAGCTCTTACCACTCCATCAACGATCTTCCAATCTGCATGACTTTCATATTTTTGCAGTTGCTTTTCAAACAGTTGTGCTATAGCTCGATGAACAAGTTCATACTGCTCCTATAGTATATATAAGACTGAGGTTAATTTTCAAAGACTTTTAAAACTACCACAAAACCTTCATAATCATACTATTATGCATTCCATGCTACGGAAGAGTATACCTTAGTCTGTACTGCAGAATGCCTTTGCGTCCTCATTTCTTGTATTAAATTAAATACATTGAATTCTTCAGGTATTTTCTGAAATACAGATGCAAGTTAACTTTTTTTCCTAAATAAGAACTCAATTCAGGTACTTCTAGGCAAAGAAATGTAAGAGATATGAACTAAATATAAGTTCTCACTACAGTGGGCCTTCATGCTTCCTCCATGTAAATAGATCTATTTAAAATTGTTTAGAGTAACAGTTCCTCCTGAACAGATATTGAAAACATCTCTGTTCACCAGACAAAAATATTTGAGATTATTGCTTTTACCATGTCCATCTTACTTTTAGACTTAATGTCTGCCACACTTTCAAAAGTGTGATAACATCTGCATGTTTATTTCTGAATTATAACTTAGAACTCTCCAAACAGAGCTAGAGACCAGAACTTTGAAATTTCAAGTATGGGTCCAAGAAAATTCTGCTAAGGAACTGCTAAAGAATGAGCAAGTATATTCATTACAAAAAAAATCCTAAATGATCAGTTTTTAATTAATCAGTACTTCAAAACAGTATTCACAAATATATACTACCAAAACCAAAGAAGGGTTTAGTCTTTGTTTGCATGTTGAAGTACATCCATTATGTAACCTATAGCCAAATTTTGCAATGCTTTTGCAATTTGAACATTTGATGCCAGTTTTTCCTGTGTATTTTGAAAGTTTAATGCACTGATATAAAACGACCCAGTTCTGTGTGTCATATTCCCATATGTCCTCCTTACCCCAGCTTTTAGCAAATTCCACGTATAATCTATGGCACAGATGGCTCCTGTTCGTCCACACCCAGCACTATGGACATAAACAGTTGTGCAAGTTAGTCTTTTCCACAATTTGTCAGTTCTAAATTTCACATTTACAGAATTAAGAAGTGACATTTTCACCTATTTTCAGAGGGTGGAATTCTGAAATACCTCCTCCACCCCCAACTTCCAAACCAACTCTTAACAACAACATAATCCAAATGATTTTTCAAGATCAAGAACGGAAGTATTTTAAGGCAAGTATTTTAAAGATTCCATAAGTGAAATTCTAATGATTAAGAGGAAATGTTTTTTATAATGCCTGACAAGAAAGGTTTACATATTCTATAAATTACAAAGACTAATATGAAATTGGTCAGAAGTTCAAACATTATAAAATAATCTATGTAATGAAAAAAAATTGCAGTCTTAGTGCAATTGTTTAAACAACACCACAGGGCACGGGTGCTCAACTCCTGCCCCATAGGTCAGATCCAGACCTTAGTGCTGCATCATTATGGGGCTGAGCAGAAGCAGTGTGGGACCAGTCCCAGCCTTTGAAGCCAAGCAAAGGCAGTGCAGGGCCCTGATCTGGACACATGGGGCCAGACAGAGGAATTGCAGAACACCAGAACCTAATCCCAGCTTGCAGGATTGGGCAGGGGCAGCACAAGGCTTGATCCTGGCGCACAAGCCAGACGGAAGTGGTGCAAGGCCCCTAACATAGCACATGGGGGTGAGCCGAAGTCACATGGGGCTGGATCCTGGCATGTGGAGGGTCCAATCTGACACACAGACTGGCAGTATGCCACTCATCTGGACCATAGCGTACTCATACCTGACCTGTGGCACAGTGTCATCCAACCCATGGGGCTCCCCCCTGGGTCTGGGAATGTGGTGACAGAGGAGCAGTGCTGCTGCTCCTCCACTGCCAAATTTCCAAAGCAATGGGACTCCCAGGCCCTGTGCACTGGATTGAATGCCTAATTCCAGCACACTGGACTAGGCAGGGGGGCAGCATCAGGCCCACAGGGCCCAATTTTGGTGGGGGGGCTGGAAGGGGGTGGCTCTGGGCTCCCAGGGCCCAATCCCAGCATACAGGCTAGGCAGGGGGGGAGGGCAGTGCTGGGTTTCAGGGCCCAACTGTTGCATGGGGCTGAACCCAACCCCAGGACTGTCCTAGTACCACTCATCTGGCCCGTGGGGCCAAAAGGCTGAGCACCACTGCTTTACTGTGTAGCTCTACTCTGAATAAATTACCAGAAATGACATTGTAAATTTCCATGTTTATTGGCATATACCTGTAGAAAATTCATTTTTCTAAATAAAGATACTGTTGAACTGCCAGCTGAAAACACAGTGCCCAGATATGGACTCCTGCACACCTTTCAAAACTAATAAAAGTTTCTGTAGGGTAAATTAGTCGCTAGTGCCTGTATGTCTCCCTATTTTCTGAGTTCATACAGATATAGAAAAGGTACAAAAGCAGAATTAGCTTTGTTCTCAGCTCTTAACAAGACTGAAAAGCAGTAAGAACTTTGCCATTAACATCAGTGCTTAGGACTAAATACACTAAGATCCATTTATTCTTTCAATCATCACTTTTTCAAAGCGGAATCAACCTAGTGTCAGTACACATTCACAAAGATTAGAGGTTTGAAAACGTCAGTTTATTCTGTATAATATTTCAAATATTTGTATTAATGCTGATCATATCTTGAAGTTATTTCAAGCATTTACCTGTTAAAACTGTAGATTTTATAAAATGACAATTTCCATTTAAATGACCTAAATTCTATCCATAGTTTGCTCTTTCACCTTACAAAAACCTGATTAAAATTTATATCTATCTGAGAGAAAACAAGAGCAAGAAACATGCTTCTAGAAGGTAATAACTACTGATACAAAGATTCAGTTACTGCAGGTTTTAATAGCCTCTTTGCTAATATAAGAGTTAAACAGCCACCTAGATATAATGATCTAATTACAACAGCATCATAACCTGGTACATATTTAATGTACCCTTTAGAGTTCTCAAAATCTGCTTAACTTGTGTGAGTCTACAGTACAGAGTTCCTATGCTCCTTTTACAGCCTCTGCAACAGCACTTAAAGCGCTGCTCTGCTCTAATGGAGGGCTTCCATTTGTTGGGGGGAATGAAGGGGGGGTGGGGGAGGAACTTCCATACACAGTTGGGAAGTTGTGTTAGGATCATAAACTATACCACCTTTCTCCTCCCCACCAAAACAGTCAGTGCTGCATCAGGATTTGTCTTTAAGGAGAAAAAAAAAAAGATGACAACTACATTATAAACTTTCACTTCAATATTATGCCCAGATTCAAAAGTAATTGTTCCAAGACAAAGCAAAGCAATCTAGAAAAAAACTGCCCTCTCTCTGAAGTATCCTAGTTTTTCCATTGACAAAGAAATACACCTTATTAGAGTCTGAAAATGGAAAGTGTCTTGTTTAATATATAAGCCAAAGGGACATTTACATTGTGTATCTTTTTATGTACTATGAATATATAATTCAGGAGTTAGTAGCTTAACAAATGCTTTTATATATTCATAACCTGCGAATGCTTAATATAACATTATATTTTGTCATTTTTCCATAACTGTGCAGACTTCTTTAGATTTTTTTTTAACATTTAAAACCAAAATAGTTAATCTGCATGAAAAAAATTGGTGGAGGCTAAAAAAGACAAAAAGATTAAAACTGGGTGTTGAAAGACAATGCCCCCCCCCCCCCCCCCCCCCCCCCCACC